TGACTGCAATATATAAATTACACGTAAATAGGCAGTTTTACGTTTTATCGTTGTAATAAAAAATACGAGTCCATATTTTACTGCCAGTCGACGCTTGCCAATCGATTGTTTGTTTGGCTATTTTATTGCGTCTATAAAGGTAGACTTCTTAATTCGCCAGCGTGACTAAACTAGCGTTTCATAGGAAATAAGTATATATTTGTAAAACATCTGATTTATTCTTTGTTCCTACTCGGATTTCATTACCAGGAGAGAATAAATACACATACATACAATCTACCATATACGACCTCAGTGTAAATTCTAGTGCATCATCATCAACGTTCGTGGATTCTAGTAGTCATGAACAATCATAAAAAGTTAGTATACTTTGTAGTTTTGTATTACGTAGTGATATTATTGATAGTAGAAACTTAAAAAAATATTACTAATAAAATAGAGTAATGTCATATGACATTACTCTTAGAGTCATGACTCTTATTCCAGATAGAAGTCAGAGCAATGTCGAATGTCTATGTCGTGTTGAATACAACACCTGACATGCTCACATTTCACAGAGCATAATTAATTCCAACGTAACAGGGCGCAAGCAGGGCTTTGATATCAAGGTTTTCATCACCGGCGAGTCAAAAAAGTTTTTTCTGTGTCGTTCCAATTTGACTTTACGGCCTTTTGGATCGATTAGATGGGTAGTACACCAATAGGTGCGTCACTGTGCTTCCAAATAACTAACTACTAATGAACACCATAAAACAAAAAAATATTCCAAGATAAAGTAGAGTAAAGGGTAGTAATAGGTAATTACTGCCCAAATCATTACTCTACCAAAGTGATCTTAATAATAAGGAATAATGCTGGTATAGTATTATTATTTACGGCGAAAACTTATGCAACATTTCGACCTACTCGTAAGCTGACATCAAAGAAATTTAAATACTGCACCAAATTTATTTTTCTTGAACTCTGCGGCAATGTAGCATCGTCCAAGACGCAGTGAAGCTACAGACGTGTGTCAACAATGTTACAGTCAATAGTTTGATAGCGGATGGTTTTATTTTATTTATTTTGTTTCGTCGACTTCATTCCCACGCCTTGGCGAGAGCGCTACAAGATAATGTTTGTCTAGAAAAAATTACATCCGCAAGTATATCCTACACTGTAACTGTAAAGCTAAAATAATTACATATTAAATTTAAATCTTTCACACCTCGCTAATTAGAAACGTTCATAATCATAATTACAACAACAATAGGTGCCGTGATTTGTCATTGAAAACTATATTAAAATTATTAAAGACACTATATTTTGCATTTATTGAATATTTAAAAAAAATCTAGTTTACATGTCGTTTCGGAAAAACCAATGAAAGATTGAAGTTTACAAATACGTACCGGAAATACGTCATTATAAAATCCGTTATTAATTTTCAATTTTTAATAGACTAATACAGTGGTGTTTTTCTATCTCAGCATTTATCATCTGCACAGAAAGCAGTGTAATACATAGATGGCGTGGAACACCTAACAGTTACTTTAAAATTAACCTTGTAATTTTTAATACCTGACAATACCTGTTACATAGTTGGATCTGCTAAACTGAAACCTACACAGTGTCATTCGAATAAATAAATACTGATGTTGTATTACGTATATAGTAAAGGTACATATTTACTACTATATACATTATCATTAGATAGCATCGGATTACTCTCTTCAAACAGATTTGTCTGATAAGATAGGCAAACCAACATGTCGAATAATATTATTGTATCAATGATTACATATTTACTATTACATCTGCATCACATTTATATTAGTCTTTTGTCGTCATTTTGAATGTTTGTTTATTTTTATTGGATATTACAATATTTTTCTCCGCTCATCTAATATACTTATAAGTGGAAGAATTATGTGGCAATCCTTATCCAACAATAAAATAAAAAAATAATGCCATTTTTTGTGTTATAAGAAATCTTCACTGAAACGTTCGGAGTTTGTAATTCTCAAAATTGAATATAAACTTGTCCTGTTCAAGTATTCTCTCAGACTGAAATTGAAAGAAGTAGTCCATACTCATATATTCAAATAAGATAGGTAATAGAATATAAAAAGTAAATGCGGGCGAAAGAAGATGGGCCGATAAAAATTCAATGTACGCCCCGACCTCCCTTACGTAAGGCGGGCGGCTGGCTGTCTTGAGATAATAGTAAGGTTTTTTCAGTCTGTACTTGTTTTATCATTTCATACTTTACATTCAATACTACCTAATAAATAAATAGCGATCGCAGAGACTGGTAGTCATTTCACTCTGTACAATACATATTATTCTTATAAATTAAAACATCATCAAAATGAAGCATAATCAATTACACGGTATTTTTGGTAATATATTGTAAAGTTGTGAAAGAAATTTCTTACAATGGACTGGACTTTGTTTTTAATAATATAGACATTTCATATATGGTCAATGTATATATTTGTATTTTTAATTTTTACTTTCTAATTCACAATCTTGTAGTGTAAGGAAAACTAAAACACTATCTTATCTGTTATCTTTTAGATAAATACCGACCACCACCATCATCATCAACAGAATAGGTCAAGACCATGCTGGAATAATTTTACTATTACTTAATAATAATTAATTAATAGTCATATAAGATAAGGTCGTAGGATGTTATCCAGATCATCCGGATAAAATTGCATGTAAAAACTAGACGAGTATATAAAAATGAAAAATCGTTACCATAATAATTATACGACATTTTTTTAAATATTCTTTTATAAATTGACCTTTATATTTTTATTACTAGATAGCGTCGTTTAATTTTAGATAACGTTGCACTATACTTTTTGAGAAACAATTTCTAGTAGTTTGTTAATATTATTTTTGCCTTTTTCCTATAATGATATTTGTGGATAATTACGACCCTATTACACATTCATCTTAAAGTAAATAATGTTTTATTTCTTCTGGCGTGCAAATGTACTTTTGAATGTTATATAGATTATGCATGAGATGGATGAATCATAAAATATGCATTACTATAAGAGCAGCCCACAAAATATCCAATTTACTTCGCCAACTTGACAAATGTCCCGAGGAAATGATGGCATTTTTCAAGATGGTCTACTTTGATATCGCAAATTACTCTACAATTTTTTATTATCGTTATATTGAATCAATATTTTGTGTTTAATGTGAAATATGAATTAGTGTATACTATTGTAGATACAACATTTATTTAAAAGAGCAACACACAAGTTTCTTGCTCATTATTTTTGTAATGAGTCTGTGTAAAATAAAAAAAAAATATTCATCTTTTTACATCGTTCGAAATGAGTGGTAAAATAAAAAAAAACCTATTCAAAGGGCTTTTATTAAGTTTTTAGAATTTCGACTATTTCTAGAAATACATAACTAGCTAATTTTATGAAAATAGTACTGGAAGTCGAATAAATGTTACTACGTGATTTTATTATTTTTGACATAATTGAAAGATTTTTTTAAATCATCTAATAGAGTTGCATTACTGCTGAATCAATATGTAATATGAACTTATTATTTTCTAGGAAAACTCGGAAGGGAAGAATTGATTAGCGTACGGAGACAACGGATACTGTACAACTATAACAAGTTAAGCGGGTGTTCCCTTTATTGATATAACAAATTTTTTTACTTCGCAATTCCCTCTACTTCATTTGTTTGGCCTTTCGGAGGATTATTAATTGCTCTTGATCTTATATGTGGCATCTCTAAATTTTATTTCTGGTCACCCAATACCGTAGTAATATATTATTTTGATATGATATACAGTCTCTTATTATTATTTTAAGAATAAACTTCACATGTTTGCTAATTTAAGCGAGTTAATTAAACAATATGTTTATGTTCGTACATGACATATGTTGTTCTTTAAATATTTTTGCTATTTAGTATATTATATACAGCTAAGGTTTATTACTGACATTCAGTTGTATAATTAAATTATTAAAACAAATAATTTAGTGCGGTAATTTGGAAAATAACATAATAAAAAATAATTAATTTACATTTGAGGTCCTTTGAGAACGTTAACGCGTTGATGTCTTTTGATAGAGATAACGGACCTCATTAATTAGAAAAAATAAGATCAAATTTTTCCTTTTACCAAATTTAAATATTTAATAATTACTATTATTTGGTAATTCATTCATAAGTATTAATTACTTTTGATAGTTTTATAGGAAAAAAAAATAAAAAATAACGCCACGGTTATTTTGATTACAATAAATGGTATTAAAATCTGACGCGTTTACAAGGTACGTAAAAATATGTACATTACGATACTATTCAGTTTATAACCAAAATGTAATCTTCAAAGATATGGATTCGTCCTTCACGTTTCAGTGAGGCAGGTGTTACGATGCACGCCTGCATTAATCCTGACTTCCTTAGGCTGACAGTGACTTGATTATGATCAATATTTACGCAGATGTGATATTTTTGGTTGTCGTATTATTCGTATTACGTAATGTAAATTTTGTTTAACTAGTGGCCGAGCAAGGACGAACTTAGCCTGAATAGTGCCGGCTGGTGACGACCCCGGCTGACACTGCATGCGCCACTCACGTCATGGGGCTCACCCTAATTCTTTAATGAAACATCTCACGTAGCATAATTATTTAATATCTTATTACCCCTGACTGACATTTACTTCCTACTATCAGCTGTATAACGAACAAACTCCCTGGGCACCGCAAAAATCAAACACATATTATACCGATTTGAATAATACAATTAAACATAGTTTTAACCCTCTAGTAATTACGGCCAGACATTTAAATTACGAGGGGCGATCGTGGATAAAGCAAACACGCACGCAGCAGATATTCTTGAAAAAGCTACGAAAAACATGTTCATATGTAACATAGGCCGGGGAAAATTGCAGAAAGTGTCGTCGGCGGAACGATTATTTGTATGGATCAGCTGATTTGCAGCAGATCGCGTAAGGTACTTACCGGCTGCGGTCGTCAGCCACCACCAGCAGCAGCAGGCGGCCACGAGCGCCCGAGCGCCGGTCATCTCAGCGGAAGCGCATGACACGCGCGCTCTCGCCGGCCGCCCCGGCGGACTGAGGCTGACTGAGCGCCGCCCCGCGCGATCGATGCCCGCTCGCGCCTCTCCGGCACGCACCCTCCCGAGCTCCCTACTACCCACTACCCCACCCGCTCCCCGCCTCACCGCGCCCCGCCATTTTCCAAGTTTCCTTAGAGAGCGCGCGCGCTGCCCCGTTTTCCGGCAGATCGCTGACCGCCCCTAATTGATTGGGCTTGTTCATTTGCCGAACACATTTTAGGTCAGCACCGCCGCAGAGTGTCTGCGTTATGTTATCCTGCCAACCACCTGACAGAAGAACAGCCTAGTAATCTCAACGTTGATTGTAGCACAACTAGGAATTTCTTCTGCGTCCGAAACCTAATGGAAAACATCGACGTGACTTAATATTTTGCAACAAACTTTGGTGACCCTTCTTTTCAACAGACTATCAAAAGGAAAACCGTACATTATAATTACATATCACGGTTTTAAAAACTAGAACAGTTATGCAATAGTTATTTTTTGCTTTTCGGATTTTAATGATTCTTGTCACAATCAGACAGGGACAGATTTTATTCTTCTAAATTAACTTATAATCTTTCTTTAGAGAATATACATATTAGATCTATAAAGGAATATAGAGAGAAACAAATTGCATAGTAGAGTTGGATTTCCTTAAACAAAATACCTATTTAATTCGCTATACACAATTGAACTAGTATTCTATTCGACTTATTTACCTATTTACTACAATCTAGATAGTGTTTGTAATAGGAGCTACTACCGCTACTTTGACTAAAATGTAAATTCTTATCTGCCCAATAACAAATAACTTCTGTGATTTATTTATCTTACTAATATTATAAACGCAAAAGATTGTGAATATGGATGGATGGATATTTATGATGATGATGGATTACTCTTTCACGCAAAAACAGATTTTCATGAAACTTTACAGTAATATGGAGTATACATCAGAATAACACATAGGCTATTAATTCCACGAGGGTAAACCCACGGGCACAGCTAGTTTCTAATAATTCTTACTAACACTCCGCTGGTAACGACAGAAGAAAATAAGTAGCTATTACTACTCCTGTGTTTTGTTTTTAGTGCCGATAAAAATTAAAAATAATAAAAGTGGCGCCAGTATGCTGATTTTCTACGATTGATTCCAATATATCCAAAGAAATGTGGGCACGTCACATTTGACAAACCCATCTCAGAAGGGGGAAAGGAGATTGTTAGTAATGTGGACTGATGATCCCATTGCTAGCAATGTACCATATCAGGTTGACCTCCACGCAGTTCCCCCTTGAAACCCTCGTGATAAATTCTTGTTAACGGACCTGACCTCATACTCATGTTATCATCCTCCACCGGTGCCCCGCCAACGCAAACCAGCGCAAACGGGTACACCATTATCATCCATAAAAAAATATTCGTCTCAAAGAGAGGAAGAGGATTGTTAGTATGTAATGTGAATTATTATTAATTACTAGCAATGTACCAAGTCAGGTGGTTCCCTTTGGAAACATCATGTTAAATTCCTGGTGAATTTGCCACGATGTGTGATGGATTTATGGACGATGCCACCCCATTTCAGATGAAACTTACGAAAACTAAGCATACTTCTATGTAAGATTCTCTTATCTGTGAACGTGAGGTACAAAACCACTTGGTTTAATTTTAATAGTATTAATCAATAACGAGCTAAACTAAGCAACTCTCTCCTTTTTGTTGGACATAAAAACAAAATTAACAATGTTGTAAATTTACTATGTTAGACATTGAGAAGTGATAGAAACTTTATTCTTTTATGGCTATATATATAAATATACTAGCTGTCCCGATAATCGTTGTTTTGCTTTAAAATAAAATTAAAAAATTTAGGGGTGGACTACCCCTAACATTTAGGGGGATAGATAGAGGGAAAAATAGATGTTGACCGATTCTCAGACCTACTCAATACGTTCACAAAATTTCATGAGAATCGGTCAAGCCGTTTCGTAGGAGTATGGGAACAAAAACTGTGACACGAGAATTTTATAAATAAAAGACAACTGCGAGACTATGACGGATATGGTGATTTCTTCTTTACCTTATTCCTAAAAAAATCCAATCTTTTTATAATACTGTGTTTTCCTAATCCTTTTTCGAGATTTAATTTTGTCTAACGCCGTAAAGCTAGTATAGTATGAAAAGTTACAAAAGCTTGATGCTTTTATAACTTTTCCTACTACTAGCTTTACGACGTAGACATAAAATCAACAAGAAGTCAGTATAATAGCGCGAATATAACGGGTACTGGTAATCTGGGTAACTCAGTTTTAATTCATCATGTGCTCATATTTGTCTAAGTTAGTCGAAAGAAAAATTTATTGAGAGTACTTAATTCTAGAAATACAACTACGACATTAATTATGGTACACATCTGTATTTGCTTAAAGTAACGATGTTCGTGCTTCGGAGAAAAAGTATATAATACTTTATTTTCAAACAATATGGTCCATTTTGTTAGTATTATATGTAATTAAGTTATACCATATTCAGAAGCGTGGCGTGTCTTGTCGGAGCACCGTATAATAATTTGTTTGGGGGCACTTACGAAGGGTAAAAATTTCTCACAAAAGAAAAAAATTGCATAATATTAAAAGAAATATGTATTCATCATAATTATCTATTTGTCACTTTTCCAAAATTTTTACATACAATAAAAATTAAATATACACTCCTTATACATATATATACATGTCCTTGCTTTTTTTGCAAACTGATTTATTAAGTTATTTATAGCTGATGCGGGAAAAAAGAAATAGCTTTATTAGCTTTTGTTATTTGTATAATTTTGGGATGTTAATTTTGCCTCCGCACGTTGGGATCTCCGTGGCCCGGGGACCCAGTATAATTAATACGGCAGATACGGCGCGGCGGTAGCTACGTCCCTGACCATGTATATGGCATAGCTTAGCAGAAGTGCATTCTCTCATCTATGGTAGGTAGCTAAATCAAATTTTCGTTTTTGTCCTATGTTTATGATTTAAAAGTATGAACTTGTACTAGAATACAGTAATAGATGGAAACTCACGTCTCACTCTTTTTTGACAGTTTTGTCGTGCACTTACAAATTAAAGATATTATTATAAAGATATATATAAAAGATAATATACCACATTTGCCTACAAGTACTGATTTTATCATTGGTTTTAATAACATCATAACATATTGGCGCCATCTGTGATGAACTTGTGTAAACCGCATTGACAGTTATAAAAATTTGACAACTTAATATGACAAATGAATTTGACTTATTACGGAAAAAAAAAAGCGCGGGAACTTTGAGGCGGGAAGTTCATTTTTTCTACAGTCTTTTGATATTAAATAATTTATAGAGTTAATTAAATCCTAGCCCCGTTTTTGTGCGATAAAAATGGGTGCTGACAGTGGCGGCACCCAAAACAAAAAAGGGATGAGAAATTCTCCTGCTAAACCACCACCAAATAAAAGGAAGAAAGAAGCTACTTTACCACTACCACATGAAGAGGAAAATTCAGATAAAGATGAGGACCCTACATTTTATGCGCCTTATTTAAAACCTAATTATATAAGGAGTTATCAAGAAAATTCACCAAACACAACATTTACTGTATTTATACAAAGCATTAAAGAAGAGGTTAAATTTGGTAATAAAAGTCCAGTTTACTTAAATAATTTATTCAGTAGATATGTAAAAGGAGTCAAGGAATTGAGACGAGTAAATGCACTAAAATATGCCGTAATATTTGACAATGCAAAAAATGCAAATTCACTATTACGTGATTCAACCTTTTTAAATGTTCAAGAATTAAAAGCATTCATCCCCGCATCGACAACTGAATGTACTGGTGTTGTAAAGTTTGTTCCCACTGATCTCAGTAACAAACATTTATTTAATAAATTATCTTCTCAACAGGAAATACTTTCAGTGAGGCGATTTATGAAACGGTCCGATAGTGGAATGATTCCACTTCAGACTGTCTCTATAACATTTGCAGGTAACATTTTGCCAGAATATGTAACGTACGAGCTATGTAAATTTAAAGTCGAACCATATATAAAACCTGTAATGCAATGTTATAAGTGCATGAAATTTGGACACACTACAAAGTTCTGTAAACGAGATATGGTTTGCTCAATTTGTACAGAAGGTCATAATTATAAAGAATGTACTAATGTTGAGAATCCTATCTGTGTAAATTGTAAAGGAAACCATACCGCAGTTTCCAGACTTTGTCCAGTTAAAATTCAAAAAATACTTGAAAATAAAGAAAAAATTATAAACAAAAACAGTACCCTAAGTTCACATTTTCCTAATCTGAACTCGAGTTTTGCTAAAGCAGCTCAAAGTTACACACCTAAGAGAAAAGAGAAAGATTTTATTTCAGAAGTTATCAATAACGATTTAATTTTAACAGCTTTAGTACAAACATTAACTTCCCTTTCAAAAAAAGACACTAACTTACCTGTTAATACTTCTACAATCAAAGAAGTATTTCTTAAAAACATCAATCTATAATGGATCAGAAGGTTATTATAGATTCCTTAAATATTGTACAACATAATATACAAAGTTTAAGACCAAAGCTTCCTTTAGTCACACATTTACTTGCTAAACATAATATTGACATCTTGATTTTAAATGAAACTTGGTTAAAAAATACAGATACAGTAAATATTAGAGGTTATAAAGTATATCGTTGGGATCACAATGTAAACAAAGGTCATGGCGGTGTTGCCGTCTTTTATAAAGAATTTTTAAAATGTTCTAATGTTACCACCCAATCAAATGATAAAACTGTTGCAATTAAAGTTGAAATAAATTCTGGGTTCTTAAATATTTTAGGATGTTATTGTCCTCCTCGAAGAGGGCGATTCCCTGTTACATTATTAAAAAATATTATTCTTTCTCTTTCTTCTCCGGTATTAGTCATGGGTGATATGAATGCACATCACACTATATTTGGATGTCAAAGTAATCAAATTAG